ACATCCACGGCTCGCTACGTTAGTCTCTTGGCAGTGCTGCATGACTTTGTGTTCCCTTTCCAGTCAGGACTCCCTGGCTTCTACGACCCCTGTGTGGGGGAGGAGAAGAGCCTGAAGGTGCTCTATCAATTCCGCGGGGTCATGCATCAAGTCCTGTCAGGAGACACGGAGTCACTCAGGATACCAAAGCAATGTAAGTCCTTTGGACAGTATGCTTATGCACTCACTGGCCACTTTTTTAGGTACACCTCTTCAGTCATTTTTAAATGCAAATTATCTTAACAGTCAGTCACATATCAGGAATTCATCTCATTCGGACATGTAGACACGGTCACGATGACCTGCTGAGGAGAATGGGAGGGAGAAAGGTGGCATATTTATTTGTGCCAAATTGACTGAACTGAGTGTTTCCGAAACTGCTGATCCATTGGGATTTTCCCACACAGCCATCTCTGGTGTTTAAAAAAAGATAAGTGAGAGTGAGTTCTCTAGGTGAAAATGGCATGTTGACGTGAATAGTCAGGCTGATTCAAGCTGATAGGAAGGCAGTGGCAACTTAAATTGAGCACTGCTTACAAGCAAGGTATGGAGAAGAGCATCTCTGAATGCACAGCTCTTTGAAACTTGAAGCAGCAGCAAAAAACCACACTGGGTGTCACTCCTATCCACTAAGAACAGGGAACTGAGGCTGCAATTCAGACCAGCCCAAAATTGGACAAAGGAAGACTGGAAAACCTTTGCCTGGTCTAAAGAGTTTTAGGATGTTTTCAAACCTATAGTTTGTTTACTCTGGTCCAAATCTGTTGCTGAGTTTATAAACTTGTAGGTATTTCCTGTAATATGTAAATGTAATGCCATCAGTATGCACCAAAATCTTTGAGCAGCGTTTCCAGACTTTATTGAATCTATGCAACAAAGAATCGAGGCAGCTCAGAAGGCAAAATAGGGTCCAGCCCAGTACTGGCAAGATGTACCAAACGAAGTGGCCGGAAGTGAGTACAGTACCAGCATTTCCACAATTTCTATAGAGTTAACATACTTGCAGATTCATACTTTTGTTTTCTGTCTTACTCGTCCTAGTTTTAGATGTTTTAGACTGCAGGGTAAATTTACATCAAGTCTAAAAGTCTTTTTGATATGTTAAACATGAGATTTTTATTTGTTTGTTTATTTGTTTTTTATTTATTTGAAAATGTCTGTTAAGATATACCGTGCTAGGCTATCTGCCATCTCGGCGTGCCCGATCTGACTTTGTGGATGTTATTTCTACTTTACAGCTCACAGGATTGATGCAGACACATAGGAGCACTCTCCCGCTGACCAAAAAGACTCACCTCTTGACTGTTTAACAGAAGATGGATAAAACTCTGTTTTAGATACGACATGGATTCAAGTCTCTGTTACGCAGAAATTGTGAATTTACTTTTTTGTGTTTATATTCATTTAAATATGCAGAGAGGAATAAAATCATCACAGACTGGATTAATCTGTGTCTATGGACTGGGTCGCGGCCTGCTTAAAATTCTGATGTGACACCAAAATCAATGGCTACCATCTTAATTCCCCGGTGTCCTCGGCTCTTTGGTATCCATTTATTTTTGGTATTGGGTGTAATTTATAACAGAGTTCTCTGTACTGTATTGTACAAAAACTGCAGTGCCTGTGTGACTGAAGACATGAATGCACCTATGTTTAAATGCCATATGATTAAAATCTATCTCTCATGTTGTTGAACTATTATTGCCCCTTTATTTAAAAACACAAAAAGAACCAAAACACCTTTTTTGTCATGCTTTTGGTATGAACTGTCTTTACTTTGTTGTAGCCAAGAAAATAGTCAACTTGCTTTCTTTTTAGCGTTCTTTTGTTTTTATCAGAAATAGAAGAATCGCGTTCTTTTGGCCCTGACTCACAAGTGCGGGTATTTCAGCATGTTTGATTTGCCAGATATTCATAGTGGATGCCCCCCCTGCCACAACCCCGAAGGCATTTGTATGTCGCTCCATGAACAAACGCAGTTCTTTCACTTTCTGGATGAATGTAAAAGATACTGGAACCCTGAGTCACAGCATTATCTCTGCCTGCTCGGGATGACTAACGGGCTCTGGGATGAAATTTACTGGAAACCACGTCAGTTGACTAATTGAAATCTAGGCGTCTGTTTCACTTCAGTTTCCCTTTACTTAAGACTCTTTCGGCAGAGGACCGAGCATTTTAATGGACTGGACTGGTTGTCGAAGACGTGAGGAGCACTATGGATGAAAGCAGCAGCTCCGACCCGGACTAAAGTCCGCCTAAGAAGTCTTCAGCAGCTGCAACAGCGTCAGCCTCATCTTTCAATGCAGATGTAAGAGTCCCTAAAAGTTACTTGGAAATATAGAACCGATCAGGTTAACAGAAACAAAAACCGCGTTAATTGCATTTTTAGTCACCTTATCCTCCTCGCGCAAAATTGACCGCAGTCGCAAAATCTCCAATACACCGGAAATCGATCATGGCAGTTTATCCACAAATACACAAAATCTGACATCAACCTGCCTCGTTTGGATATTAAATTCCTGTAGGAAAGTAAAACTTCTCATCAAACCGCAATGAAGGCGAAAAGACGATCCTCATAAGGAGGGACAGACAAAACATAGCAATGCAGTAGATACAGAAGAACTACGATCGTGCATAATTGTAACATTTTTATTTTTCTTTGTTTCAGAACTTACAACTTAGAATATTTCTGCTGTTTCGCACATTTTGATACAAAAAGTCCATATTTGTCCACAAGTAATAACATTTTTCCCTCATCAGTTATTTATGTCAAACCGAAGGGGCTGCCTCATGCCGAAGCTTGCTTCTTAAAAAGGTTAGGTCGAAATTTCGAACGATCTTAAAATTTGTTATTTTTCATTTACAGAAAACAAACTCTTTTTTTTTTCTGTAGTGATGTAAACGCATTGTTATAGTGACCCACTACTGAGGTTAGAGTGAAGAATAAAAATATGCACCTTAATTACTTCTATTGTGTTTTCACCAGCACTTACTTTTAGGCCCCAGTCACAGTCAGCTGCTGGCTGGACGAGTAATGCAACCACGCCTAGTGGTTTTACATTCAGTTGAATGTAAATGCCAAACATTTTGCCCAAGACACCACTCTTTAAAAAGGAAAATATGCACTTAATAAAAACAAAAACAACTTCTTAGTTGGAAATAAATGCTTTTCCTGTATTTTGGCTGGGAAAGTAATGCCTCAAACCCCCCAATGACCCCAGAAAGTTTGTTTCTAACTAAATATAAACATTGCTAGGATAATATTTTATACAGGCGAACATTGGTACAATTATGATATATCTCACCCCCACTTTGCTGGGTGGAGTAATAGATATAGTGCACCAAGATTCGTATGATTCATGTTTTTAAGGAGTCTAAAATGTGTCAGACTGTTGTCGCTTCGACTTCTCTTTGCAATATCAGATTTCAGTTCTGATAGCAGTCACACCCAACGTGGTTTGTAAATAGTAGTAATCTGCACTACTGTAGTCTTTTTGTGTTGTAATTCCTTATTATTAGGCTGTTCAAAAAGCTCCATGAAAGACCTCCATTGAATCCAAAATTGTACAACAGCAATACTTACTGGGACCAGGCCTCATTATAATATATCATCCCAGTGGAGGTCTTTCTATTCTAGGTTTGCTTTTGGTTCCTAGTTTCCAAAAGCAAATTGTGAGTCAGAGCATTCAGCTATCAAGCTTCTCTCCCTTGTAAGCAGCTCCCAGTTTCGATTTGATTTACAGACATCTCCTCAAATTAGGTTTAAAAATGTCCTTTTTAATAAAACCCAGTTAGGGCAGAATCCAGTGACCTTGAAACATTCTTAGTTGTTTTGTTATAAACTCTGGCTGCTGGGAACGGCACATGATGCACTTAACATTTCAGTCCTTATGCATTTACTAGTGTACATCACTGACTTCTTTCTAACAGTTTATATTTTGTCCTTGTCTCCGTGTGCTCTCTTTATCTTTCTGTTTTTGTTCTCTTTTTTTAAGGTCCTGGAGGAGATCTTCCTAAATGTCCCTGCCTGTCAGGTGGTTTGTGTTTGTCAATTAGTATGCCATCAGTGGAAGGAAGTGATTGACAGCGAATCTTTGTGGAGAAAAAGGTGCAGAAGAGAAGGGTATCCCATCTGTAGTTTTTCAAAAAAAACAGGACTGGAAGTTGTTTTATTTCTTGTCCAAACAGAAAAGAAATCTCCTCAAGAATCCAAATGGAGAAGGTAAGTAACCATAAAATGAACTTTACTTAACATAGTAGTATGATTCATTTTCACATAAATCCAAAACATTTAAAACACCATTACTATTACTATTATTTATTTATTTGTTTATTTTCTAGAAGGACTGAATGGCTGGGAGATCTTGAGAAATGGTGGCGATCAGTGGGTTGCTTAGGAGACCACATCCAGATGAAGCAGTCAAAACAAATGTTGCAACCTCTTTTGAGTGAGTATTTAACCCTAACGGATATACAAATGTAACTGATCCTCTAAACCCATAGACGTAGAGATGAAAATGAAAATTTCATCTCTGCGTGATTTTATGCAATGCAGACATGTGAAATGTTGGATAATAACCCAGAATGTTGAATCTGTTCAGCTGGACGTTGCGCTTTTCAGTGGGAGAGAAGTCACTTGAATGAGTGATTTCTCTCCCAGTGAAGTGAAATCCTGGAATTTCCTTACCTGGATATTTGAGCATGCATCAAGACTTGTATAATACAACATTTTAATTATTATTAATTGTTATTATTTTTTTATCATTCATTATTTACTTTTCTAGCATTAAAAATTATATTTAAAAAATATTCCAAGTTGTTTGAAAGCTGGAAAAAGAAATACCTTAAAACCTTCTTACAGTATATATGAAATAAGCTGCGTAAATTATTTGATAGAAACGATTTGATGAATAGTGTCTATTTGCTGTTCGAAATTGTTCATTTAAAAAAGGGGGAAAATCCCCGGATGACCCATAGCGGAAGTCTCCGTCAAGAAGGCTTAGAAGAGTGTTAGCTAGGTATGTTTTCCGGAGTATCCCCGGTGTTTTACGGTATTAACATAATCAGTCTGTGTTCTTCAGTTACTGCGTGCTAGAGAGTGCAATCACAGTGGGAGTGACTGTTGTGGACGAACTACCTTTGTAGCATTTTAGAGCATAACCCCGCCTATGAAGGGCGACTCGAATGTCTCGAGGTAAATACCACCGCAACTGACAGGAAGGGCAACGTAACATGAGAGTACAAACCATGTATTCCCGTAAGTGATTACTTTGACTGTAGAAATTAAACGAGTCACTTGTCGTTGGTTAAATTTAGTCTTGTAACATTATGACTTCTAATCTATAAAACAGTTGGACCTTATCTCTAGCTGCACTTCCGCGTTGTCGGCTACAAGTGGGTCAGCACCAACGACGTTAGAAAAGACTTGTTTTTAGAGAAGACAGCGAGGGGGGTATAGTAACATCAGGCTACTTTACAGCCCTTGGTTCGTCGCAGGGCATGAAGAGGAAAACGAAAGTCATGGGTGCAAGTCACAGCTATGGTACTGCGAGTTCAAAGTCTGGCACAAGCTACGTTGTAGCACAGCAGGCAACCTCGGCTCAAGAGGTGAGTGCCTTACTGGACTTTTAAACACAAGGTAACTGCTGAATGAGCTTTGTCTATGCATGTGCTGTTTGTTGTCCATCAGCCAGCAACGGAAAAGAGCAAAGTGATAAAGTTCAGTTCAGGTTTATATAGTGTCAGTTTACAACAAATAGTTGCCTCATTGCGCTTTATATTGTCAGGTAAAGACGCAGCAGTATTGGAGAAGGAAACAAGGGTACTCAACAGACCAATCACAGGGTTTTGGGGTTGCCCCCTAGAGACGTGAACGCCAGGTTACAGAGTTTCAAATGGGTTTGCAATTCCTTTTCTATAATTCCTGCTGAACCATAAATCTGCATTAAGGAGAAAGAATGCAAAATATAATGAAATATTGGTGAAACTGGCCCATCCAGTGAGTCAGATGGGATCCTTTGATGTCTTTTATTTTATCTTTTATATTCCCTGAACAATCGCAGGTTTTAAGCTAAAATGGTTTTGGAATCTTGTGGGTAAAGAGGTGCAAAGGTTTTGCGTCTATTGGCACAAATGTAAAACTTTTGCAGAGAGGATTATGCATCACACTGATGTGATCATCATCACATAATGACTGACTCAGAAACATCTTCAGATTTGGAGAATGGAAAAAGTCACTTGGATGAGTGATGAAATGATTGTTCCCAATAAAAAAACAATACATCCAGATGAAGAGAATTAACTAGGATGTTGTTAGCTGGATGGTTGAACTTGCATCATAACAAATAAAGGGAGATTTGTGTCACTTAAACAAGCAACATGGCCAACTTGACATTTTTTACCATCTGGGGAACCTTTTCTGATGCTTAAGTCATCAGTAGCTGCCTGTCATCAGAAGAAAAAGAAAACAATCATAGCACAACAGAACATTTCTTTTTTTTTTTTTTTCTTTTTTTTTATAATTCCAGTCTAGCAACAATCCTTATGTAGAAAGAAAAATACATTCAGAGGCAGGGTTTTGTCTGCAAGACATACACATCTTTGGTTTCTAGGTTTTGTGATTAAAACAGTTTAAATAGTTACTATTTCAGTGCAATACAAAGGAACCTCATTTAGAAGGAATCCAAATGTGCTTTATAGCCACCCTGTGAATGAAAGTTCATGAATGAAGTGCTTGAAAAGTTAATTTTTTAAAAGCTTTTGTTTTGTTCTTTTTCTTTTTTTTTTGTGTTGTCTGTGGACATCAATAATATTGTAAAATGCTGATGTAGTTCAAATGGTGAGATTATGTAAACAGCTGGGACTATTGATCCAGGTGCAGTGATGGAAAACTAAACTAATTTTTCAAAGCTCCACCTTATCAATGCTTTTTTTTGTTTTTTTTTGTTTTTGTTTAGTTCTTCCCTGTTCCTCTGGAGATCCTGGAGGAAATCTTCCTATGTGTTCCGGCCGACCAGGTGGTTCATGTTTGTCGGTTGGTGTGCTCACAGTGGAAAGAAGTGGCTGACAGTGAATCTTTATGGAGAGTAAGATGTAGAAGAGAAGGATACAACCTCTGTGATTCTTCCAAAACACCTGAAGACTGGAGGTTATTTTACTTCTTATGCAAGAAAAGAAGAAATCTCCTCAAGAATACAAGAGGAGAAGGTCAGAATCCTTGAAGCTCAACAACTGATTTGAAAAACCTTTTTTGTTTAAAATAAGATGCAAACTTTTTCTGTGTTTCTTTCTTTCCTAGAAAACATGGCAGGTTGGACAATAAAGAATGGTGGTGATGGGTGGAACCTAGAGGACGTTATGGTGCCACATCCAAATGAAGTAGTCAAGAAAAACTTTGTGACCTCTTATGGGTGAGTATTTACCAGTGGTCCTCCAAAAAATAAATGACCATTATTTTTATATGCTTAGTTCAAATGATGTACAGTGTTCCCTCGTTTATCGCAGTTTATACGCTCTAAAGATAATCTGCGATGGGTGAAATCTACAAAGTAGTGAACTGTATATTTTACAATTGTTATAGATGTTTTAAGGCTGTAAAACACCTCACTACACACTTTATACACTTTTCTCAGACAGGCATCAACATTTTCACACGTTTCTCTCTCATTTAAACACTCTCAAAGTTCAAACCTTCGTAGAAAAATAAGTCCAGTATTGTAGAATAAAACCAAAACCCTGTTTTCAGGGCCAGAACATGAGAATAGAGCAGCTGCGAGAGAATGCAACATTAATGAATCAATGGTACGGAAGTAGAGGAAGCAAGAAGAATGAGTTGAGTAAAGTTTGACTTATCTGACTGTTTGGTTTCAATTAATGCGTTTTATAATCCTTTGACGTCGACACTGTTGTGTTTTGTGTTTGTTGTCTTCTGCTAGCAAAGATTTATGTAAATTTGACAAGCTGAACGCATTCTGTACTGTATAGGAGACACGCCACGAGATTGATTGATTGATTGAAAATGGTCTACAGCCAGTAAAAAAAAAAAGAAAAGAAGAAGGATAAAAAGAAAAAAAACATGTAAAATTGCACCAAAAAAACTGCGAAACAGCGAGGCTGCGAAAAGTGAACTGCGATATAGCGAGGGACCACTGTACTAGTATTAAATGTTAAACTGTTTTAAAATCATGTCTGTTTTTGCAGAATGTGCACAAAGGAGCAGCTAATTGATTTGGAGAAGGAAGGCTACAGCACAGCCTTTATGGATAACCTCCAACCACACATCAAAATATCTGATTGGTGAGATGAATACACATGACATACTAACAGTTTGTTAGTTAGTTCCTTAGTTAGTTGCAAAAAGCATTTAATTACACTTTTTAAAAGCATTTAAAATGTACATTAGGGTTGTTAAAATCATACTTTGATATTAATCAATACAAAAAATATTCATTTGCAACAGCATTGATACCAACAGAGCCATCTGGGCCTTCTCTAGCTGACACACAACTTTAAACAGGACCAATGCAGACAGTCAGGCACATAGCTCCTCCTCTCGCTGATAGATGAAATAGTAAATCCTCATAACACTGAACAAAACTTTTCAAGAATTTCGAGAGGTTAGTAAAGCTCCCGTTATTATAAATGCATACGTTAACACTAACCATTTCTCTATTAGCAATTAACTGATAGCTATATTTGCCATCTGTTATTATTAACCTAGCTGCTAGCGGACTGTAGTTAGATTAAAGATGAAAAATGACTGCAGGCTGAATGTGTCGCGGATGGAAAATTGAGATGTGACAGTGCGGATTACGGACACATGGAGAACCGGGCAGGTTGCTGTCTGTGCAGAGGAGCGGGGAAACTGTAGTTGAACTGATCACAGAGTGTGGAGAACTAATCTGAGCAAAAAGAGTGAAACCTGGAGCAGAGCAGCCGAATCATACAAGTGTGGGCTTGAAGAGCAGCACTGAGGATGTAAAGAACTGCAGACAGAAGCGGAGCTGTGTGAACATTGAATGAGAGAGAGACTGCAGGCAGATGTGGACAAGATAATAAGCACTTCTACTTTTGCAATAGTAGAAAAGTTCATTTTTAAATTTTCAATATAGGTTTTCTATACAATAATTAAATTATTTAGATGTTAAGTATTGTCATGTTTGTTGTGGCCTTTGGTTTATTAATACATTCTTAAATATTTCTCGATCTGTAATGAAATTATCTAAATCGTTTGTAAAACAAATATCTCTAAACTTGCTTTGCTAAATTACATTTTTTGGGACATGACTTCTTTGCAAATAGTTCTGTTGTTGTGGCATGGGGTCAGAATTTTCCTGTTGATATAGAAAATGGTGTTGAGATAAAGTTTGAAAACCCTACTTTGTGCAAAAAATTTGCACTTAACAAAAACCTTTAGGTCATGCCCAAAATAAAAGGTTTTTTAGTTTTTGAAACCGTGGAACTAAACAAAACTTACTGATGACATATAGGAATATATCCCTTTTAAGGCTTGAATAATAAGAGAGAAAAACGTAGCTTGATATGATTGGTGATCCCTAATCTTTGCACAAATACATCCTCGTTACAGGTATGCACCACGATGGGATTGTGGATGTGAATATTCAATCCTTGTGCAGTTGCTGGATGCAAAGCAGAAGGTTATCCAGTCCTATGCTCCTGATACTGTTTTCTTTGATCAGTGGAATGATCAGGAGTGGAATCGGGTATGTACAAAGTGAAATTTAATAAAGTTTAGTAACAGTGCAGAACCCACCAGCATATTTGGTTTACTGATATTTATTTTTCAGATGATCCATGTATTCCGGGACTATGGACCAGGAGTGAGATACATTCATTTTAGGCATGGTGGCAAGGACACACAGTTCTGGGCTGGATGGTATGGAATACGTGTCACAGACAGCAGCGTTGAAATATGTCCAGCAGTGAACACGTAGCTTGTTGGAATTTGTCCAGTTCTTCCATCCTGCATTTGCCTGCAATTGCACATTATCTTCTTACATCTCACTGACCATCTATTCATGTTTCCAGAGCTATAATCTCTGTATGTGCACAAGTTTTCCAGTGAAAAGCTATTTTCTTTAATGTTTCACACAGAACACCTTAAATAACACCTTAAACTTGCTTTCTGTGATTGTCATTGTGATGTCAATACTGAAGATTACAGAGTATTGTTTAATTTGACAGGCTAAGTACTATTTCATGTACAAATACATCTAAAAGTTTACCCAAATTCAAAATAAAATGATCACTACCTTGTAGCTGGATTTCAGATTTTCATGAGCCCATCCATCCATTCTCTTCCACTTCCTCTCTACTTTTCAGGTTTGGTTCCTCTCAACTTTTCATGAGCCAATATTTATCAACATTAAAACAAAAAATGTTTGGAAAATTTTACTTTGTGTAATGATTTGTAAGATGCATTTGTATAATTTGATTAAATTAAACATTTTGTGTTCTCCTGTAATTTTTTTTTATTTTATCTGGAAAATTTCGGGTATTTGTGAGAACAGCTACTGCTTCAGACATAAGAACCCCTCCAGTTTCATTGAACAAATAATATGCAAGTATGATTTATATTTGCATTCTGTTGTTGATGTAGGATGAATGAGTATTCAGTGATTTATTGTGCACCTTGACTTGTTTGTCCGGAAGCCAGCATGTGACTTAATCCATATTTGCCTTACACATACTTGCCTTTACTTTCCATTTTGTAGTATGTGAGAACTGGATATAATTATGTAAGCTTAAATGTTAACACATGCTTAAGAGGGAAACTTGAAAGCCATATACTATATAGCACTATGTGAAATTTGAAAACAAAAATTAAAGTGTATTGTTGTGCTTTACGGTTACTTTGTTCTTATATTTTTTATTTCCTGGTCTTGACACCATATAGAGACCAAGTGTCCTGCTTTATTAATGTGTGTGTGTACATTATGTAGCATGAAAACCATTTTTTCCCCCACAGAATGTGCATAAAGTCACAGCTGATTGACTTGGAGAAGGAAGGTTACAGTCCATCTGTTATGGATCATGCCCAACCAGATATCAAAATATCTGATTGGTGAGAATAAACATGGGGTCTTTAACAGACTGCTTATTAATAACTAATCGTATTAAAGAAAAGTAGATGTAAGCAAAATGATTGACTGTGGAGAACATTTGAATACAGTCCGCGAGGAATGTTTCCAGTCCCTTGTTGAATTTATGCCATGAAAAATTGAGGCATTTCTGAGTGGCCAGTGAGTGTAACTGTTCACAAGTAAGGCCATGTTCCATATAAAATGGGAAATGTCATTGGATAAAAATGAAAAGCACATGAAAATAACACTAATGTAAAAAAAAAAAATTACAAAAAAAATCTATTTCTCAACCTAAGTACTATGTAATTATCAGTTTTTGTGTCATTAGAGGTTTTTGAGGTTTAAATATTAAACATATGGCTCACCAGGCACAGTTTGTACTCATAAAGTTCAGTCTAAGATGAAATGATTATTGATACATGTTTGTGTATCCAATCCAATGATTTTTTTTCATTGGATTGTGTTATTGATTTAGGATTCTTTCACGTTTCGACTGTGGCGGCAGTTATGATATCCGGGTAGAGTTGCTAGATCAAAAGAAGCAGCTTATTGAGATCTTTTCACTTGAGACTATTTACTGTGGCACAGGACGTGAAGAATGGAAACAGGTATGACAACAAAACGCTTGCATGAAAACCCAAGGACAACTTTTGTCTGACTGATTATTTGTTTTTCAGATTACCCATGTGTTTCATAAATATGGACCAGGAGTAGGATACATTCGATTTACACGTAGAGGGAGGGATTTAAGGTGGTGGAAAGGACATTTTGGAATTCACATTACTGGCAGCTCTGAGTTATTTCCAACACTGGACACATAGACTACAAATGTAGTCGGTGGGATTCATTTAACATGTGCTTACTAACTTTCTCTGAAATTATACTAATCATGTTTAACTTATTTAACCTGCTTTTAATTTAGATGTTTTTGCATCTTAAACCAACAAAATGGATAAAACCGTTTTTTGACTGTTTTATATTGACAGTTAGCATCATATTTTGACAGTTTGCCTACAATTGCGCATTATCTTCTTACATCTTACTTATCATCCATTCATGTTTCTGGAGCTATGACTAATATATGTGCACAAGGTTTGGAATAGGAAGTTTTGTATATGTGTGTGTATATCATCCTGAGACGTTATGGTGCAATGAGAAGCATGACTTAATGTAGATCTGAAAAGCTATTACCTGTATACCCTGGTTTGAGAAAGTGTTTGCCCCTTCCTGATTGAGCATGAACCACCTTTTTAAGGTTATGCCACAATCGGATTGAAATCAATACTTTTACTAGGCCCCTCCAAAGTGTTCATTTTGTTGTTGTTTTAAGCCATTCTGAGGTGAACTTGCTGGTGTATTTTGGATCGTTGTCCTGCTGCAGAACCCAAGTGTGCTTTAGGTTGAGGTCATGAATGGATGGCAGGAGATTCTGTTTCAGGATGTTTTGGGAAATAGATGTTTTGGTAAATTCATTGTTCCATTTACCACACAAAGCCTTCCAGGTCCTGAGGCAGCTAAACAGCCCCAGACCATTAAACTACCACCACTGTATTTTCTTGTTGTTTTTCCGTTGTGATTTCTTGTTGTTTCTTTATGGAAATGCTGTATTACCTTTATGCCAGATGTAATGGGACACCTGAAATTTTCAGGCATTTATAAAAACATCTACTAATTCAGACACAAGCACCTGAGTTTTACTGAACCAGGAGCCAGTTACTTCCACCGAGTGATTGGTTTGCTTTAGACTGTCTACACAGTTATTGGGGACAAAACCTGTCCTTTTGGCTATATGAGGTTTCTGTCAAATAATGTGCAAATATGATTTCTATACGATATGTTTGTATTCCGTTACAGATATGAGATGACTGAGTATCCAGTGATTTAACCCTTTCACGTATAGTGGTCGCTGCAGCTATTCAAAGGCTGTTTTCTTGTATTTGTGTCAGTGTTGTTTCTATACTTGCACATAAACCACTACATTGGACACTGATGTGTCACTCCATACCCTGCCACCCACTGGCTGTTTAATGTTGCTATACCTGTATGACATGTTTCGTTGTAATTATTGTTATTTCACACATGAATTATGACAACCTCAATCAGGATTTTTTTCTTAAGTATTTTATTCATCTTTTCATGCCTAAAGATGAATAAAAATACTTGTGAAAAAATGATGATTGAGGTTGTCATAATTCATGTGTGAAAGGGTTCATGTGTACCTTGACTTACTTGTCTGGCAGTGTGACTTTGTTTACATTATTGCTACAGCCCTAAACCAAACCTATGCATTTGCCTTAAAGATACCTGCCTTTTGTTCTTTCCATTTTGTAGTGTGAGAACTGGAAATGATAATGTGAGCTTAAATGTTAACACATTAAACCATATACTGTATTCATGAAAGTGTATTGTTGTGCTTTACAGTTACTTTGTACCATGTCTTTTATTCCCCCACCAGTGCACATGCATAAATCTAAACAGGCTTGTAGAAAACATTTGAAACATTCTTCATGTAATGTAGCCACAGTGACTACAAACTCCACAATGGGGGATCTCTAACATCACCATATTTTTGTGCTGAGGTTGGTTAAATACCAAAGAGCTATTGCAATTCCTGGAAAAAAAAATACAGCTTTGCTCTCAGGCTTTTTGAACGTTGTGTCTGACCTTTCCTTCATATACTTTAAAACTTGGGTGAGAACATATTTGTAGTTGCATGAAGGCGTCAGTGGCTGATCTCATTATTTGAGGCAATAATGCCTCAATAATGAGATTATCCTGGGTTTATCTGAATTCTATTGTAATACTTTAGAAGTGTTATTTGGCTCACCAACGATAGAACTATGTTTGCATTGACCTGTTGTTCCTTATTGATAATAAACATTTGTAACAAAAAATGACTGAATAATCAGTTTTGATGTCTTTGGTAGTTCAAACGTATGTATGTGTAACTATAGGCAGGTTCTCAAGTTTGAACCATCTAATAACATGACAAAATGAAATATTGAAAGTAGGATTTAATAATCATAATACTGCTTTATTGTGAACCTTTATTACAAACAAAAATACAGTCCCAACTTTGTGAAATTGAATAAAAAATAAGAGAGAAATATATTCTGGTTAATGTGATTTCAGCTAAGGTTCTTTCAGTCTTTCATTAGTGACATACAAATTTTCAGTCAATAAGTTACGAGTTACTTTCACTATATTTACAAATTAAATTCAAGCCCACAATCTAGGAAGGGATAGTCAAAGGCAATAATTATCAGTTAAGTAATTTAATAACTTCTACAGGATCTCAACCTGTTAATGGTGCTGCAGTTTACAATATAGGTCACTGGCCAAACATTAGTAGTTACACTTCCACAAAGTTTAACTTTACCATCTGTTGATGATCACTGAGGACATACATCGTCTCCTTGATGCTTGTCAGAAAAAGCAAATGACTTGGATATAGTTGTACTCAAACTCAGTAACAGTGAAATAGATTTTCCACTTTTATCAGACCGACGATAAAAACATACCCAGAAGTTCCATATTTCTTTAGGTTTCTTACATTTACCTTAAGACTATGTTGAGAAGATTAAGTGGAGCTTTCCCTAAACAAGCATTTTATGACAGCAGGATTTACAGTATGTTGCAACTACAGACACCTAAGTAGTAAATCAATGCAAATTTATAACTTTAAGGGAATTTATTAAAGCTCTATAAAAATATCTTTGCATAATCACTTCTTTTGCAAGGAAACCTCTGCAAAGATAACGTGGCCAAACCAAAACATTACTTCCAAGTGTTCCTTAGAATTTTCTTAAGTGTCAGCATTCAGTGTTCACATTGTGTACAAAATTTCAATGGCATCAAATTATGACAAAGTGTATCAGTCTTACACAAAGTATGTTTTAAGGTTAAGTATGTGAGAAGGCTAATATTTAAAAATATCTCAACTTATAGTGGAATGTGCTTGTGCAGAAAACCTCTTCAGTACTGTTAACCTAGATTTGGAAACTGGTGTGAAGACTGCTGCGAAACTTAGAGCAGAACACATTTACGTCTTTTCTTAGGTTCAGGTGGCTCCAGGGCAGCCAGTATTGCCTCATCAAACACATTCTTTAATCCTTTCTGTGGAAACAAAACATTAATATTCAAAACAGAGCCATTTTCTGGAAATATGCGAGCGCAAAAGAAAGCTGAGTAAAAATGGAGCATGGCAATCAAAATTTTCATTTATTGAAATAACATTATACAAGTCTCCCCTCGTGATCAAGTTGTCTTAAAGACAAAAGCCTGTGAAAATTTTGATGCTGCAGTAGAAAAAAAAAAAGATATTACTGTCAAAGACAGTAGCACTGATGCTTAAATAGGGTACAACGGATGAGCTCAATGCTAATGTAAGGGAATGTTTGCTTAACAAAAAAAACAACAACAACAACAAAAAAAAAACAACAACAAAAAACCCCAACAAAAACAAAAACAACCCACCACCCCTCAAAGACATGTCAGGTTACACAGACTCGTCCGCAAGGTGAAGAACTAAAGATTGGCACCATCGTCAATAGGCAGCATGGACAATTATTGAGATTAGTTGAAAAGAAAGCACACATGAAACAAAGGAAAAGGGTTAATGGGTACAGAGGTTTAAAGTTTGAAAGAGCATGGGGCTTATTTTAGTAACAGACATTTGTTTACAATGAATGAGCAGCATACGATCGAGAGGCAAAGCAAGATTCAAGAAGACATCAGAACAAGCAGCATTTTCTCTTTCTCTG